CTTGGGCCGTCTTGGACGCTGTGAAAGACCAAGAGGCGAAAATGCTGCACATTTTCCGAAAGGAATGGGACGATTTTTGCTTCTTGGGGCCCTCTCGGGGGGCCTCTTAGAGCCTCTTGGGGCGCCTCGGGGCTGTCGCGGTGTCATCTGGGGCTGTCTTGGAGCTCTCGTGGGACGCTTTTGGGGGCCTCGAGGGCCAGTCGGAGGCTATCTTGGGCAGTCTTGGAAGAGTCTCGACCTTTCTGAGACCTCCAAGGGTCGCCCGGTGAGGTCCCAGGGAATGGGGGGACCGAAATACAAGGGGGGCTCCGGCCCAGGGGGCCGGGCCCGGGATGTGAGTTCGGGTTCCGCCTCGTGGGCCCCTCTTGGGGCTCGCCTGGAGCACTCTTCGGCTGAATGAGGGGCCTTCTGGGCCGTCTTGGAGCCCTGTCCGGGGGGCATCTTGGGCAGTCCTGGGAGGTTTTGAGGGGCTCTCGGGCTGCCTTGGGAAATGAGACTCGCGAAAGAGCGAGACTACGAAAATCGCTCAAAAAAACGTAGGGGAAATCAAAATGTTTGCCTTTTGGTGCCTTCGGCCCAGCCCACCACGGTGCCTGGGTTGTGAGTCAGAGGCCTCTTGGAAATTCGTTGGGATATCGTGGGAAGCCTCTCAGTTGCCTCTGAAGGCAGTTTTGAACCCTCCGGGGGGCCGTTTTGGAGCCTCTTTTGGGCCTCTTGGGGGCCTCCTCTGGGCCTCGCGGGGCCTCTGGGCCTCTTGGCGCGAAAGGCTCGAATTGTCCGCTCGTGTTCCCCCTCTCGGGGCTGTCCTGAGGCCTCTTGGGCCGTCTTGTGCGCCTCTTGGGCCGTTCAGGGGCCCTCTTGGGCCGTCCTGGGGGCCTCTTGGGGGCCTCTTGGGCAATCTTGGGGCGATGGAGGTTTCTTGGGTATTTGTTTGTTTTTTTTTCTTGGATCGGCGCCGCGCGCGAAGCGAGCCGAGGGCGGCACCACATGCGCCGCCATGAGCGCCTCACGCAGACATTTGAACGATTATGTTCATGCCAACTTGCCTTATTGATCCGATCCTCTCTCGGAACAATTGGTGCGAGGACGGGAAGGAGGAATAAGAGGACGGAGGAGGGATCAGACCAGGGAGGAGAGATAAAGCCCGCTCGTGCTCCCCCTCTCGGGGCTGTCCTAAAGCCCTCTTGGGCCGTCTTGTGCGCCTCTTGGGCCGTTTGGGGGCCCTCTTGGGCCGTCCTGGGGGCCTCTTGGGGGCCTCTGGGGCAATCTTGGGGCGATGCTGGAGGCTTCTTGGGTATTTGCTTGTTTCTTCTTGGGTCGGCGCCGCGCGCGACGCGAGCCGAGGGCGGCACCAGAGGTGCCGCCACGAGTGCCCCAACGCGGACATGCAAACGTTTGTGCTCACGCAAACTTGCCTGAATGATCCGAGCTCCAGGCTCGGAACAGTGGGGCGAGGACGTGGAGGAGGAGTAAGAGGACGGAGGAAGGATCGGGCCAGGGAGGAGGGCATCTCCGTGGCAATGTTGGCTCAAGTCCGTAGCGGTGGCGCAGAGGACTTTTGAGCTTTTGGCATTCGGGATTCGCGGCCCCACCCGTTCACTCCAGCTTGCTTTCAGTTTACCTGTATTGGGGCTGTGCCCCATCTTTCCAACACGTCCACTTCACTCAGTGCAGGTGTGCGATGGCTCAATAGTCTTCCTCTCTCGGCTCGGGCGATTGGGTGCACCGTGGGTGCGTGAAGGAGAGGAGCAGAGTGGATGGCCATCGTACACTACCCCATCATCGAAGGCAGCGTGTCCGTCGTGCGGCTGCAGGCGCAACCTCAAGCAATACAAGTGGTGCAAGAACTGCCATGCCACGCTGCCGAAGGTCCAGATTTCGTCTGTGCAATCTCCTGGAGGCGTGGTCTCGCTCTCCTTTCGCCAGCGCGGAAGATGAGGATGAGGCACTGGTCACGTTCGGGGGCAAGCTCGGCAGCAAAGGCGGCAGAGGTGGCAGACTCGGCAAAAGTGGTGAGGGCGGTAAAGGTGTCGGAGGCAAGAATGGCAAGGGCAAAGATTGGGAGGTTCACAGCGCAGGTGACGATGCTTCTGGTCTTTGGTTCAAGCAGTCTCATGAAGAAGAGTCTGGAGCTCTGCCTCCTGGGCCTGTTCCTCGCCTCACCATCGCCGAGGCCACGCAGTTGGCAGAGTTGCACGCCAAGGCTGGTGAGGAGAGGCTCGCCAGCAAGTACCGCACGCTCGCTTACTCCCTCGAGAAGTCCGAGAACGCTCCTGGTCCTTCGTTGCAACAAAAGGTTCAACAAGCTCACGTTTTGGTGTGGAGGAAGGAGCGTGCATTGCAGAGAGAGTTCACGAAACTCAACAAGTGGAGAGCTGAGTTGGAAAAGCAGCGTCAGAAAGTGGTCCAACTTCATGCTGAACTGGAACAGGCTGACTCGTCGTACCAACAGGTGGTCAAAGGATTGCAACAGCATTCGCACATGTCAGAGCCTACTCCTGCTGTTTAAATCACTCACGAACAACTGGTGGACGGATCGGTACCCATCGACACAGCCATTTCAACTGAAGTGTTTGACATTGATGCGGGCGACGATACATACGAGCTCTCGGCTGAAGACAAGCGCGAAATACAGCAACGCAAATATTAACTTTCAGGCCAGGTACGTGATGCTGCGAAGTCCTTGTTCGAGGATGCTCTCACAAAGATTCAGGAGGCGAAGGACCAGCACGCTGCCCTTTTGGCCAGAGTTGGCAAGAAGCGCAAGACAGAAGACGGTGCAGTTGCTGCGTCTACCGCTACACCCAGTGGATCCCTTGAAGGTGGCGCAGGCGCAGGGCGTGGAGCTCAGGGCTCGGCGACGGGCTCGACATCTGCGGCCTCGCGCGGTGAGCATCCTGAGCCTGACATTCGCCAGCTTGTTGCTGCAGACCTCTCATCCGATCCCCCCCTCTCTAGAAAGAGAGGGGATGCCTGGTTTGCTTCATGTAGTCAATGTGAGAGACTGCCTCTCCCAAGTTATTCGCAGTTTTGCTGAGCTTGACAACTATATGCGTGATATTCACAGGTGGGTGCAGATCCCCAGCGGTGCTCCAAGTCTTTTTCACGCCAGCCACTAGTAGGAGGTTGAAATGGGAGCATTCCCCTTTGTTGGATTCGTCGCCCTTCGAGGCGCAGAAGATTCCTTTACGGCCCGTGGGCAAGGCCGATTCCGTTATCTCCAACCCCGTGGACCCCAGGGCCCAGGACCCAGGGGAGGGTATCGGGGGCCCCGACAGTGTGGCGCTAGAAGTTTGGACCGTGAACTGCAACAACTGGGGTACCATGAAGGACTTCCTCGAGGATGATAGTTGCTCTGTCCACGTCATACTTTGCCAAGAACATAGGCCCCGCGACCCCGAGCTCATCGATCGAGCGCCAGTTTCAGCGTTGAGGGCAGGTTGGAAATCTATTTGGCAGTGCAGGAGCTGCTACCTTTGCTCGCTCGTGGCTAGGGCTCCTCACGTTACCGTCTCCAGTCATTGCCTGGGGCCGATGCCCAGCTTGCAAAGTTCACGCACCTGACAGCCCTGCTATTCTCCTGGCGTCCGTGCAATTGCATCACTCTGTTGGCCTCAACGAAGCCAACGGAGACATTCTCAGCGACCTGGGCGAGTTTGCGAGCAGCGAGTCATCCGGATACATCATAGGAGGCGACTTCAGTTTCGGGCCAGACATCCTAGACGGCATGGGCGTTGCTAAAGCTGCGGGGGTCAGTCAATCACTACCTCTGAAAACGCCCACCACCCCTCCCAGGGCCCCCCTCTAAGTTTGATCACATTCTTGTTTCGGACCCATTGGCCAAGGGCCTCAAGGAGGCCTCGGTTCGATGGCAGGACACCCTCCCCCCAGAGCCAGCCCCCCGCTGGCACACGCCCGCGCAGCTTCGCCTCGCCCGCCCGCACGCACGCACGCACAACACGAACACGAACCCGAACTCCGATTTCCCGATGGGGGGCTCCCCGTTCCACTGCGATCTCGCCCCCCAACCTCCGATGTGTTCATGTTCATATGCAACAAATGCACGCGCATGCACATGCCTGCGCATGTTATCAATGAATCTTCTCATGCTATCGTAGTGTAACGCGATTCACTAGGTGTGGTCTCGCAACTCAGTGTTGCCTGACCCCCATGGTATCAGTAATAGCAATTGTTGGTGATAATGGTAATACAATACCAATGCCTCTTCTTCTCAGCGAGCGGACGACCGCACGCTGTCTTGTTTGAAGCCAAAAACGGCGACGGACAGTAGCACGATATGGTAGCGGTGACGGCAGCGCAAATGATCAGTATGTATGGGGGTTCTAAAACATTATTCCTTCTCTGACTCCTACCCTCAAGATAGCCCCAGGAGGTTTCTCAAAAGCTCGTAAGGCAAATCGCGGGGATATTTTTTCTGGAAAACACTCGGTGTTCCACGGATTATTTCGGGCGGAGAGGGTTCCAAAATAACTCCTAGAGAGCCCCGGAAGACGCAAATACAACTGCCGTGGTTGGGGGGACATTTGCTAAGTGAATCAACAGATGCTCCTGCCCTTTCTGCGCTCCCGACGCGCTTCCATAACGGCTGGTCCACTGCATGCTTCTACGCTTCCATGATCACAGTAACTCGCCTGGCGATCGTTTCTGGATGGGCTGGTGGGGATGCGCGAGGCGTCAAGAGTAGAAGGGAAGAGGAGGAACAACGGGGAAAAGTGGGCTTGCGGCCGTATTGCAGACTAGCCCAGACTTACGTGGGCAGCATGAGCTGCCGGGTCGCGCGAACCCAGGAGGAAAGGAGGACGGAATTCTATGTTCCCCCCAATGTTTAAACCAAGAAAGCCTTGCACACCCTTCAGATACAAGGGGATCAAAGAGCGCTCTTTGGAGGGGATCGTGCTTGCAGCTGCATAGCAGCCTCGCGCGAGGTTCACGCGGGCAGCATACGCTGCCAAACGCTGCATAGCAGCCTCACGCGAGGTTCAGTGGGGCAGTCTATGGGCGAAACACGCAGCGCATGATTCGGGATTGACGTTGTGGCGCCGCAAATCCGCTTCGAACATACCCTTTGCGGAAACGTACAGCAAAGTATCCCACTTGTCCGTAAAGCCACCAAGCTGGGAAATGTTCCATCTCCCCCCTGTGGTGTGCCCCTGCTTGTGGGTCAATCTGAAATGCACAAAGTCGACCTCGGAGCACCGACCTCCGAACTTCTTCTGGAATCCACCAGCCCCCTTGTGGGGCCATCGGGCTGCGGGGCGTAGGGTTGCTGCTTCCTTCTCCGGCTTCAATATCAGGTCTCCCATGCTAGAAGTACATTATGCTTCCTAATGTAAATCGTTACTGTCCGCGCGACAAGGGGGGGGGCAAACCGACCTTTTACCACACCCAAATCACGTCCTCTGAACTCTTGGGGGGGGCTGTGGGACACGTAAAGAAGCTACGCCAGATTCGCAACCCCGAAACTACGATCACTTGTAATTACACCAGATTCGCATCTTCAAGGCCACGACCCCCTAAGTTACGCAATATCCGCGTGCTCCAACCTACGAGTCTTAATAAACTACGGCATGTTCACGCTGTCGAGACGACATCGCAAATTAAACCATATACGCGCCTTCGAGGCCATGATCCCTTACAAAGTACACCGTATTCGCGCCTTCGATGTCACGATCAGACATGCATTACATCAGATTCGCGTCCTCGAGGCCACGAACCATTGTGAACCAGAAAAAAAAGTTGCGCTCACGCGAATCCATTTGAAGTAGCACACGTGTTGGCTTCTGCGTGGCAGACAAACGTCGTCGCGTGTATCGTGTTATTTCGTGCTATGCTTCATAATACGATTCGTATGAGTAGTCGTATTAGGTTCTGCAGTCGAATTGCTATTATCATTGTTACCCGTCGTCTTATCAGCAGTATTCGTCTTAGTACTATTGTTGTTGGCATGATTGCTATCATTATTTATCCTGTTTGTCATCATATTGTTATGTTCTAGTCGTACTATTCTCAGTGGTATCATTCGTCGTCTTCTCGAGTATTATTGCTATGGTTATGCTTGTCAGTATTACGCTTATTATTCTTCTCCTCCTCCTACTCCTCCTCCTCTCTCCTTCTTCTTCACTCTGGCCGGGGGAGGGGGACGGCGGGGCCTGGCGGAGTGGGGGCGCGTTGCTCTGTGGGGGCCCAAGGGAGGGACGTTGGGCCCCCCCCCCGAGGGTGGGGCCGCGGCGTTGGATGGGCCTCGGAAGGGGGGTCCAGGGCCTGTCGCCGCGGGGCCCACGGTTGGCGCCCGCTTTTGTCGGGGTCGGCCAAGAGGGGGGCGTCCAAGAGGGGGGGCGCAAATCCATGGCCAGCGGCACGTGCGCGGCCCAGGGGGGGGGGGCAGGGACGTACTAAAATGAGAAGAGGCGCCATGAGATCTGGGGAAATATCATGGCCCACGCCATGATATCCATCCCCCCTAGTCATCACCCCCCTCTTGGCCGCCCCCGACTTTTGTTGTGCACAAGTGCAATGCAGAGTTTGAAAAAAATCGGCGCCTGCGCTGGGCTTTTTACTTAAACTCGTCAGTAAAACTTGTTCCGAAGGGGCGCACGGGCGGCGTTGCGATCCCTCGCAACTTACGTGATATTCGCGTCTTCTGTTCTTGGCTGCAACCATATTCGCGTCCTCGAGGCCGCGACCCCTTGTAAATTGCGCCATGTCCGCGTCCTCGATGCCACGACCGCTTGTAACTTACACCATGCGTCCTCACAGACACGATTCCTACTCAAGTACATAGCGTTTGCGTCCCCGACGCCACGGTCACTTGTAGACTACTTACGCCGAAGATCCCACAGACCGCCCCAGCCGTGCGATTTTGCCCAGCGTAGCCTCAAGCACCCCCCAGTCGTTCGAAGAGGGCCTCCTTTGCACAACACAAAGAGGATGTTAGAAAAATTCGAATCAGCATTCAACAATGTCTTCTGAATTTGAACATGTTTTGCCACTTCCCAATCGCCCTCCCACGAGGTTCCGGCATTGCTTCACGACAGCGCCAAAGCATCCCAACGTGGCTCTGGCATGCCCCATTCCGATGGAGAGGCGGCTGGCGGTAGAGGGCGAAGCCCTTTCGAATAGGCACATCGACAAGTCCCACTGCTCTTGCAGACCGATGAACGAGAATCCCGAGAGCAGGCGCGAATGAGCGAGCCGAGCCTCCGCAGGCGTCGGAGATGTCGAATCCGAATGTAAACACGCGTTAGGTTCATCTCGCGTCAGCATGCGCACGAAGCACCCGCTGGAGCGCTGTGCGAAGTCGCGCAGAGACACCCCCTGTGGGATCTTGCCCAGTTCCTTGAGGTACCAGTAATTTGACACGAGCCGCTCCTGCGGATTGCGCACCATCGTCATCAGCCGCCCCCTAATTCGCTCGAACTGAGAGCCGATCCCAAAATGCACAGCTGCCTGAGCCGCGCCAATGTCCACGCCTGGGCAGAATTGCCGCAGCGAGTTGCGAAAGCTGTCGAGAGTCGAGAGGTCAGTCTCGCCTATCAGATTGTCCCATCCATGGCCTCCTTGGCCTACCGAGCTACCAATGAACTCGGCGGCCTCCATCGTGCTCGCGAAGTTGCACACGCGCTTGTCGGCGGCCAGCTTGAGGATGAATGTGGAGCCTGCAGTCTTCGGGACGTGCAGCGGCACCAGCGGCAGCGCCTTGGCCCAGGCCTCAGCCTGGGTTTGCCTTGCGGACCACACTGCATGAGCTTTCGGAGAGACGCTGTTTTCCACATCGGAAAAAGGAGAACGAATCCCAGGCGCCGAAGTGGCGCGCGCCTGGATCGCATCACGGAGGCGGGGGTCCTCGCCCTCAGTGTTGGCGAAGTTCAGCCCTAAGGCAAGGGGGGCAAGGAGGCAGATGAGTGCCAACGGTACCATGACTGGCCGAATGCTGAGTCTCAAGGTAAGGTAGGCAATAAGCAATGAAGATGAGGCATCTGCAGAACCGGTTGCCTGGCAGCCAAGCTTGGTACAGAATGGCTGCTGGCTTGTGGACTCTCCTGGCCAGTCTCGGTGCAACCTTGAGGACTCAGAGGCCGATCGGAAGCGAAAGGGCGAGAAGGCAATCAACTATGGTTTTACTCAGTGTTTGAAAGACGTGGGCTTCTTGGGAGCCTCCGTGGCCACTTCTACTCGTCTTGGAATGTTTTTAGGGGCATCCTGGACCATGCTGAGGCCGTCTTGAGCGATCGTGCGCTATCGCCAACCATCTGGGAGGCCGTATTCCGACCTCTGAAGCCCTCTTGGAGCTCGGGCATCCCGATGCCATACCCGCGTGCTAGCTGGAGGGGTTCACCCGATCTGGGTATGGACGCGGGGCGAGGGGGGGTTAGAGCGCCCAAGATGACTCAAGATGACTCCAGAACGCCCTCGGAGAAGACAATACGGCGTCCAAGATGGTGCTTTAAAGCCCAAATATGGCTCAAGATAGGTGTTAGCACGCGTCCAAGCGCCACAAGCGGCCACTGAACCTCTCAAAGAGGTCCCCCAGAAGCCAACATGGTTGCCTTCTCGTCGTTTCGCTGCGACCGGGCTAGCTATGGAAGCTTCCAGGTGGCTCGAGAAACGCCCCAGAGAGCCCCAGGAGGAGCCCACGAAGGCTCCAAGACGGCCTCGAGATCGCCGAGGAGCGTCCCGAGAGGGCCAAAATATGAGTGCTAGTTGGTGCGGGGGTCCAGACGGACGCCCCTGAATTGAGAACCCACCTTCCTTGAGCGATGTCCTCAAATATGGCCATAAGATCGTCGCCAAGGCCCAGAAGAGATCCCCAAGAGGGCCCCAAGATGGCTCCAAGAGGGCTCAAAGAAATAGACAAATATTGCCTCAAAGATGACATATGATATCCCGAGATGGCTCAAGCACGCCTCCAAGATAACTCAAAGCCGCCGTTAAAAGGCTCGAAGTGGCAACGGAGCCTCAAAAATAATATTCGCCTCTACTGCCAGTCAGGGCAACTGTCCTGGGCATCGTTTCTGGATGGGCGTGTGGGGGTAGGCGAAGCGTCAAGAATATACAGACTTGAAAACAGATCAATGCCCTCCACTGCTCCCCCGCCAGAACTGATACAGGGCCGCGCGACGTCGATCTTGTAGTATCATCCTCCTCCTCCTCAGACCCCAAAGTCTAGAGTGGCCAGGAAGGAGTGATCCAGGTCGCCAGGCTGGCTGTAGGCCGAGAGCGGCGGCAGGCACCTGCGAGGTAGTTGCGACGAGACATGCCCGGAGCATAGTCCTGCTGGGGCAGCCTAGGCCCCCAACAGGATGGCGGATCCAGGGGGCTAGCCTGGCTCTAGCCGATATTGCGTGTGCTAAGACTGGAGTAACGGAGTGCGAGATAGCGCGAACACGGCACCGGGAGACTGGTGCGATGTCGCTGTGCAGACTGAGCAACAGACCAGGCTAGAGGAAAAGAACAGGTGTCGCCCACCAGGGGCATAAGACAGACTGCCATAATCTCCAAGTTGGGGTCCCTTCGGTCTCACCACCCATCCTTTGATGCATTTCGCGGGACAACCCGGGGGCAACGGCGAAGCACCGTGGGACTGAAGCGGGACACCCACGCCACACCCGTGGGACAACCACGAAGCACCGCGGGACTGGCGGGGAAGGGTAACTTGTTGTACGAGTTCGCCCCAGCCTCGCGCACCTTCGCCTGGTCCACACGCACGACACGAATCGAAACCGAAACCAGCTTCTCGATTAGGGCGACGTCGCTCACATTCCTCAACCTCATATACACCCAAGAACGACACGCAGCCATCGAGCAAGAGGGACATGGCGAGAAGAAAAAAGGGATGATGAGCAAGGGGGAGGGAGCGAGAAGGAAAGCTGAAGCGAAAAGGAAGGAAGTTCAAGCGATAATACTGAGGATGAGGAGGGAGCAAAACTCGTTCGCTCAACGGTGGGCGTCTTCTATGCCGTTCTCAGGTGGACACTGTGGACGGAGGAAAGAGGGAGAAGGGAGCCTCCGGCTCCCCCTAATCCTCCCTCTCCCTCACCCCTCCCCCATCCCTCTCCTCCCCTTCCCCTCCTTCTCCCTCTCCTCCTCTCTGTCCCCATCCCCGTCCCCCTCTCCTCCTCGTCCACTTCCTCCTGCTCCTCTTGACGTCCTTTACCTCTCCCCCTCCCCCTTCCTGTTTCCGTCCGCCTTCTCCCCCTCCTCGTCCGTATCTTCT